GTAAACAAACATACATTTTTGAAAAAATTGGCCATTTTAGAAAACTCATTGTCTCTTTCTGTTGCCGAGACTGGAACACATCAGTCATTCAACTGAATGTTTATAGACGCACCTCAGTAAAAACTATTTTGGGCAGTAAGAAATGGTGATTTAGGCAAGTAACCTTAGTGAGCCTAAACGTCATGCGTGCAGGTAAGTTGTAACTTATTCTCCTATATGTAATACAACAATTTACTCATCAGTGCGCTTGTTCAAACGCTGTGTGATTGCATCTCCAACAATCTGGCCGACCATACTATATATACTAGATATCTGAACTTGCACAAGTCTCAGGTCTGCTTGCTGCACATGCGACAAAGGAGAGCGAAGGGTACCGTTCGAAGTTTACCTGCAACAAAATGTAGGGTATCTCTATGGGCTGCATTTGCGTCTTAAGAAAGAATTCAGAAGATCGGATTCCAGTCACGCTTTGAACTGAAGGAAGTTATAGTAAAAAGCATTAAACTGCTATGGGCTGATGAAATATTGGTGCTTGACTCGATCATCAGACTTGCTACCCGGTGCTTGAGGAAAATCTGCGGAGAAATAAGTTTGTTTTAAAAATGGTTTCCCGAACGCGCTGACTCATGCTGCCGACTTCAGTTACAAGGAACCAGAAGCATGGGGACCGTCATAAAACGATTTAGACGAACAATAATATCTTCACAAAAAAACGTGCCTACTAATAGACCATAAACGTGAAAGTTATATTTAAGTGGGTATTTTGCAAATGGTAGGACGTAGGCCGTGACATTTGTGCCTGCTATGTGTGTGTACTGTGGCCGGTTCTGTTGTCGGGTTTTCCGGCTCACCGAAAACACTCGCCGATTGAGTACGGCTACCAGCAGGTGACCAGCGGCGAAGGCTCTGTAGAAGCCAGCGAAAGAATCTTCACCACAGAATGCGTAGGTCATGTTCTCTAATAGCAAGTGCAGCATGGCAAATATTTTACGTTACCTGTTGCTCTCTGATCGATTTAGGTAAATCAAGTCCTATGGCAGGATATAAAGTTCTCCAGACAAGTTGGTGCTAGCTAACAGGAACTTATGGGTTAGATGCATTTAAATCTCATCTGATCTGTGAAAATCGTTTGTGCGTCGAATGCGAGATAATAGTATTGATTGTTTTATAAGTGAGTCCAGAGGTGTTTCATAGTGAAGGAGAGAAAAAGATTCACAAGCTTTTTACACGTAGAAAAAGTAAACGACATAACCGCTGTTTGTCGCTTTTAGAAGTTCTGACAAGTCGTGCTGCCTATACGTATGCATGCTAATAACGGTTTATTTTAATACTAATCGGGAACGAAAACTTGCTGACTCCTATCCTGGGATGGGGGTGTGCAACGTTACAATTAACATTGTCACTCTAATGAAAAGTTTGTGCGGTTATATTTCCTAAGCCAAGTCTATATTTATTTCTTAAACTTGTGAACAAGTTTTTTTTTTGCAAAGCCGAAGAAAGAGAGGACCTACAAACGAAAGTAATACTCTAAATGTAGAAAAAAAAAACTAGACAACAGTCTCAAAAAAACATAACCTTCATAGCACATCTGGGCGTTCTATCAGTTCGAGCCCCTTACTATGCAGGCATGTTGACTAGTATACAAAACTTGTTTTCTCTCCTTTTTTTTCAAATTTTGTCTACCTAAGGTGCGACAATTTGTTTTCATCCAACAAATTGTCTCGTTTTTTTTACTTGCCACATATGAATGATTATAGAAATCAATCGTATTACAAGAGGAGCATAAAATTTGCTTTCAGGGCTTGCATTTATATCAGACTTCCCGTCAAAAACGTTTTTTATCGATCGAGAACTCTAGAATGGTTATATCGTAAGTACGGAACACTCCCTGGATGGTCGGGTAGACGAAAGGGTTTTTCTTTTCATTGTTTTTGATTAAATTGCTTAGCCGAAGAACCAAAAGCCATTTCAAAAAAATCACTACCAACTAATGGTAAAATTATGTAATAAGTTCTGGGCGTAATTTTATCTAGGTAGAAATTGAAATTGCCCTATTAATCACATAGCTACTCTTAGCATTTTCCTGAGATTGCGATATTCTGGTTGTTCGGTAGGCTGTAGTTGAGCTCATTATTGAGTATTTAGGTTTCCTCAATCAAATCTATTAGCTCACATTGTCGACTTAAGATGGGCCAGATCCAGTGTGGAGCAACCGGCTAATGACAAATGAATGACATAAATGATCTTTAAAATAGCTTTGATCTGTATCATGAGCTGGTTATCTAGATACAGGAACTCTAGGCGTTATGCAGTGTGTTGGATGTGATTAGGCAGAATGGCGAGTCACAGCTGCGCCACTGTTAACCGTTCATATTGGAACGGTCAAAACTTTGAAACGGTCGCATACTTGACACTGTGTACATACACAACAATCTTAAAGGGCTTTGATATCTTCTACGATATATTTACTCAATTTGTTCACTTTTATTTATCTAATGAGTGACTTCGTAAGGTACGATAAGCGTAAAAACATAACCGGACTCCTTACTGTTACGCCGATTATATAGAGAATATGATAATAAATAACTATTGCTAACCTTCAAGGCTAAGGCAGATTTTAAAATGTATACACATATTTCCCTTAATGCTTCATCTTAATCGGTAAACAAGAACGGTTCGCGTCGTTTAGAACAATACGAATAGCCCCATGAATTCTAAACATGTATATTTGAGATGACATTGGCAAAAGTTGTTGACCCCATGAGTACCAACTGCGCATGCATACATTATTAACAAAACGGCACGACAAGTGTGAAACACACAATTTTACGGAAGGTCCATAATCAACTGTTTTAGTCGCAATCTGCGATCAGCCGTTACTAGTCAAGGAAATATTCCCACATACGACAAATATTCACCATAGAACGGTTAGCCGCAGGAAATGAGGTGTTCGGCACTTACTTATTTTACGTGTGAAACAATCGTGGACGAAACACCGATTGCTCCAGAATCAGGAAACGGTTACTTCTCATTCGACACGTGTATTTCAACATCTCAGGTATATATAAGGTATCTCATAGGCCTCTTGCCCTTGCATAGGTCTCATTCAATCAGATTGCTTCCGAGCCTGGCATAGCATCAACGTGATAGCCTGCTGCCTCTAGATCTATTCAAAGTTAAAATGCACGTAGAGGATGACCATGAGGCTGTCAAAGGCGGATTTTAGTTTGTCCTAGATTGTCTATGTGCATCCCTTGGTGAGTGCTCTGTACTGAGAACTGTTCTTGACGTCACCGCTTATAGGCTAGATAACCAAGCAATTTCCAGTGTGGTGAAATCGGCAGCTGAGCAGTATGACCCGTTTCCTTGAACAAATGTCATTGTGGCTCAAATTGCAAGATCCACCAGTTGATTCCTAGGTGATATATCGTACCCATGTGCAATGCATCCGCGCTTCCACCAAAAATATATACGTCTCTTACAGTTTGCACAGAAGTGCTTCATAAAACAAGCTTCACGCCGTCATGATATCCTTGAAGATATGTTCGTTCGATGCGTCCAAGTGTCGCGGCGTATCGACGTGGAAATAATCCTCAGATCCTTAAACATATCATTCAAAAGAGCCAAATATCTGACTTGTTGCGACCCGACCGAACAATGACATTGGCGTGGGACGTATTTTGGTTACATTGTTTACAGCAGTTTGCTAACAATTATTTAGTGCAATATACCGCGACTAGAGCTCAGCGGAGCACTGCTGCAGTCGTTTCTCGACCCGCTTTCTCCGACAAGAGAAATTATGTATTGCTCACTCAGGCAATCAGAACTTTCGCCTTACCTAGTTCAAACTAAGCTTGTTAAAAAAATATCAACATTCATAATCCATCGTATACATCGCGCATTACTCGGACCTTTAGAGTTAAAGAGTTACGTTTCGTTTGCGAACGTTCTGATTTACTTAAAATGGTTATAAAATATCACCTTCATAATAACTCAGGTGAGGGAAACTTTTACCCTTTAAGAAAAGACCTTATTGTATACATATATACATTTAGTGAACTGACTTTACCTCACTGCAAACTAATCAAGCGACGTCGAATGCTGAACGTTTCTTCGTCTCTACGGTTGCAATGTCAGCGAACCCAACATCAACACAATCAATCCTTAGCTATAATAATATATGATGAATGGGTTCGGTGCTGCGAACTCTGCATCTAAAACATGTTTCAGCCGGTCATGATCGTGTTCATCATAGAATTAGCAGCGATGTTAGGGTGTTCGCGATACGCTGACAATAGCGCTGGTCAAGTTAATTCCTGTCTACGCTGCAAATTTGCGTATATCATTCGGCCATCGAGGCGCGCGAGCTGCTGCGTAGTCTGTCGACCAGCCGTTCTACCTCAAGTTTTACGGCCATTTCGTGAACCGTTATACATTGTTGGCCGTTGATTCGCCTTTAAGCGTCAGCTCTGACAGGGGTGGTGCAGTAGCAATGGTTGATGAGGAGCCGTTACAATGGCTCCTCATACGTTCTGACTCGATGCTGCCTTGCAGAATAGGCAGCTAACGGTTATAACGGTTGGTAGCAAAGACTGCACCACCCGCCACGACACGACATTGCTCTGGAACGACTTCTCTGACGGCGCTGGTTCGTCGACAGAGAGGGGCGTCTGCGGCGAGGGCGGCAAGGGCTGAGCTAGTGACGGTAACCGGTGCGGCGGTGGTCGCGGGCGGTTTAAAGGCCGAGCGACGTTCGCCCCGCTGTCAGTGAAGTGCTGTGTCTGTTTCGTGCTCGTATCGTGACAATACATTATCAACAACAAACAACAACAACGACGACGACGACAACAACAACAACGAGAAGAACAACATCAACTAGTCAGGGCTAGCCGGGGCTTCGCATCTACAGAAGCTACTAGATCACAAGGCATGCACATATTTAAAGGATTCGCAGTCGCCGCGCTCTGCCTCGCTGGCGGTAAGTGGCTGGAGCGAGATCTTTAGGAGTTTGGGGAAGTGGCAAAATCTCGTGGTGACCTTACATCCCCCCACGCGCGCCATTAGGAAGAAGACGGAGGAAAAGTTGACGGCCGTTAGTTGAACCGTTATTCCCTCAAATGGCTCTGAGACAATCCTAGGATCAGATGGCTTCGTGGACGCAAAAATGGTCCAAGTGTGAATGTTGAGTTCGAGGTATTCTACTTTCATTACAAAGGTCATAAATACTTCAATGCCCTATTATGATGAAAGGAGCGACCTCTAAGCGGCTCTGCTGTTCTCGCTTGTTCGATTGTGAGACGAAAAGTACGATACGCAGATAAGTGCTACCTAGTGCATACGCGAAATGTATATTGTAGTCATCACCTATAAAAATTAGTTGTTTCGCTATTTAAGCGGTTCGAGCATTAATCTGTGTTTTGTTGCCATTCATTTACCTTAGTCTGCCGTAGTTTCATTCCAGAACATAGTGTTGCGTAGACAAGGCTTACTAACCTAGAGCTCTTGAGTTCTCTTCACTAATCAGATATCGCTATTTTCTGTCTAAATTGCCTCATACGTTGGTGAGTTCTCGTCCTTTACAACCCCAAAAATGGCCTAGATATATTATTCATATCATTACAAACGTTTTTTTTTACACAAACAAAATTAATGTTCGTACTTATCTTGATCAATATCGCATAATCGATCTTAACGCACTCTTCTGCAACCTTTAGCTAAATCGACAATTAAATTTTGTTTATTTGTTTGTTTGAATTTAACGCCAATTCAGGTAATCCTCACTACTTCTATGGTATCTTTTAACATTGATAGGTATGACTTGTGGTTGGTGATTGTTCTATAGAAGTTATCTCGTTGCTGATGTTACTTGCGTGTCTGTATAGGTCTCTCCTGTGAACTGTAAACTTTTCGACAAATACAGACCCAATAGTTTTTAACGTCGCCTTCGCAAGGCAACGACAAGGTACGTCTAGGCTAACCGATGTACGATCAAAATTAACGACCGACATTTCGCACCTGCACAATTACCGACAAATGGAAATCAGTTATTGGCGTATCTTTACGGAACACGCTTTTATCGGTTCGCGTTGGCGTTTAATTTCTTTGGTTTCTAATTTACTTTTCTCCTATTTTATCTAAATTAAGCACTTAATAATAATAATAATACCATTTAATATTCCCTCCTTCCGTTCCGCGCAATTAGCAGTTGTTCTTGATGTTTTTTTGAACGTGGCGGCTAGCAACAAAAGCCACTGACTTTGTTTACTATCTGCTTGGCAATACAGCCAAATGACGCTGCCACAGTTGGGCCGCTAACAACTATTAGCTCAATGCTATTTTTTTTTAGGATAATAATTGTTCCCTCTATCGTTTACGACGTCTAGGAATAAACACACCAGTTCGGATTTTCACAGACGGCAGAAATAGCAGCGACTTTGGTGCGTGCCGAAAGCAAAACGATCGGCCTGATCGCGCTGGCGATTGGCGAGTTACTAGACACACGGACCGGCGGTCATCCAGACGATGATTTGTAGCAATGCGACGAACACCGTCACAACTCCGTTGGCGACGTGAACCTAATATCCTGCCAAGACGTATCCCGCTACTGTTGGTAGACAGCTGCTGCTACCAATTGGCCCGATGATTGCGCAACAATTATCGACCGCTTGTCGTTCGCTTCGGCGTAGGAAATGAGAAAAGCCGTTAAAAATATGCACACACACACACACACACACACACACAGGCATATACGGACGCAAATACGCGTATACAACGATTTTACTAAGCCTTGCACTGCGTCAACTTCTGTAGCCACTTTCGAATGTGTGTCCATACCTAGCTATGTCCTATGCGCGATTACTGCTTTGCTCTGATCTGTTCGTTCGAATGACGATGGCTGCTGATAGGCTTTCCGTCGTAGGACAGCGTCGGTTTACGTGTGTCGGATGAAAAGGCGGCGGCGTTAGATCCAACAGTGCTGCTGATGCTGACATTCTTAATAATTGAGCTTGTAAAATTTGGTGTTGCAACCATTCCACCATGCGGATCTCGGAACTGCTTCCCACCGTGACGTCGATCGACATTGTCGATGTCGTGGGCAAAAGGAGCAAAACACTACTGTGTTGATCGCCGTAATGTTTACAGCAGCAGCAGTAGCCAAAACATCGTTGAACTTGAGAACTTGCTTTACGTGCAGTCATTGTTTTCGTTACTGTTAATGATGTTCGTGCCGAAAAGTGCTAATGTGCGTCGAACAGCCGAAAGTGTCTTTTGCCTGCTAGCTAACCTTGGCCTGCCGGCAGCTTGTCTCTATGAGCCCCATATCAGGCCAGCTGATCTCTCTGCGGCCATACTGCGATCTGATGAAATGCCGGATCGAACGAATTAGCCACATTATAGATTCTTTGTTTAATACTCCTACTGAAGCTGCTTTCAGCAGAGGAAAGCAGCTCAAGCTAGTCTAGCTTAGGAATCGAAGTCAAGTCTCGATCGGCGTTACTGTCAAACCACGCGACAAAAACTGAATTTCTGTAAGGGCATAACTGACGTTTAGAATGATTTCTGATCGTTGTCAGACAAAAAAAAAATGATTTCATTAAAAATTCTGAAAAGGTAGCTAATTAAAAAGGGACTTTATTGACGGCTTACTCCTTTCGTCCTATCCTTGTTATTCAAATGCTAGGTCGATAAAAACTCCTGTGGCTGTCTTGAAATGTTCGTGCGCAGACCGCGACTTGACACAACGTGATCCATTCATTTGAGTTTCTCAACTGTCTGTCAAGGACACGAGTCGTCGGTCGACATGCGCCGATGTAGCCTTCTAATGGTGATTAACACCATCTGTCACATAAACGCCAACGTGAGTCTGCGCATTTAGCGAAGTCCGGAAACAAGTGGTCTAAGAAACATTAACAATCCCATACCTCATAGACGCAGTTCTTCCACTGACCGCGAGGGCGCCTCAATGCGAACAACGCCGACCCTTGTCGACGATTGACGCGATTCCCTCTCACCAGGCAGACGTGTGTCATTGAGGGGTCATTCACCAAAAAAATGATTTCCTTCGTGGCCCGTCGACATAACCGTTCGCAAAAGCGAATTTCAACTTCTGCAACAACAATGGATAAGAGGGATCGAAGATACACAAGAGAAAAACTTGTGCCCTAGTAACCACGCACTACATATTGCTCTGCAGCAGTTGCTAGTTTGTCGATAGTGCCAGATCATCTTCAACATTATTTTGTCACACAGTAGCGATTCGGTTCTTCTTCAGTCCATGGACGATGTTCCCTTCTTATTTTCTACATATTATACACAACGGTTGCCTGGCTCGGCCCTAGACAGCCCCTTCCCTGCTCCGAAATAGTCGGCGATTGAATTTTCGCTACCGCCGTTACCATCACCGTGCGAGCCGGCCTAAAGCATCGGCCACGTTTGATACATTCCGGCTGGACAATGTGAGCCCACCAAGTTCGGTCAGGTGCTGTTCCTTGCGATCGCAGTTTACTTCGACCGTCGCTTTGCTACTTTTCTTTTGCCGTTGGCATCGATAACGCCCGACGCTGAGATTACCCCTGCCACTGTTCTGCGCAGTAAGGGCTTGAAGTTATCGCTGTTTTTGTTGTTAAGAGTTACGTCAAGGCACCTATTCTCACATTCCAAAGGGAATTCCACTACAATGTGAAGTCATTTAGGATGACTACTACGCTTCGTACCGTGATCCTGTGCTATATTATATGCCATATGATGAGGGCGACGGTGTTATTTGGGCGTGACTCGACAGGGAACGGGCAGGGATTATCGTCTTATCTGTCAGTGTTGCCGCCGTATAACTGCTGGCGCTGCTGCTAATCAGTATATCCGACGTCGGATCGTTCATACATAGATGGTATGAACGATTTCAAGATATCTGACGCAATCAGTTTTACACGTCAATCGTTCAAGTGGCTTGGGCTGCTTTGATGAGTAGCGGCGGGTTCTTCGGTCGCGTATCAGACACTGGACACTGCAAGCTGTTCCACGTATCTACATGTAAAGTCAATTCAAAGGAATTGTTAAATTCGAATATTATAGTCCGTCATTTGTACATTCATTGAGTACGCGAAGCGCTCCGGTCTAAAAGCCGATCGAATTTACGTTAGGCATCGTATTTATATCACTGTTAGCTGTTACGCGAAAATGCATAAACCAAAATTAGTCAGCAGATCCCAGCGACTGCCACACGTGAGCGTAAAACGTAACTGATTGACAGCTGGCGGTTTTTATCGACATACGCTTAATGTTTTACTGCTGCGCCATTATCAGTATACGCATGTTTACCAACAATATGTATATGTATGAATTGCCGCGAAGCGTAATAGAACCTATAAGGTACCATATGCCACGCAGGCGCTGCACCTATTATATTTGGTGCTTTCTTCATAGCACGAAATCGGTTTAATTTTGCAATAGATGCTATGTAAGCTTTTGTTGTAAGCGTTGCTTTTCTAACTCGTATCATTTATTTTCTATGGTAGCTTACGTTCAGTGGTGGTTTGAACCAACATGTTGAGAGCACTCCTATCTCTCTCTTCGCTAATAATAATTCGCTACCATCAATAATCGTCATCATAAAAAATACAAAATTATGGTAATGTATTATTTCCGCGCTTTTACAGCGGCTGCCCAGCAGGGAGTGCGAGCCCCCACAAAAGGTACGGCGGTACAGCATGACGTTGGTTATTATGACTGTCCCGATGATTTCGGTTTTTTCTCTCACCCGAAGTCCTGTGACAAATATTATGCCTGCAGTAATGGGACGGCCACGTTGAAGCTGTGCGGTAACGGACTCGTGTTCGACGACACCGATCCCTTGAGGGAAAACTGCGCATATCCTTTCTCCGTCAAATGCGGTGACCGAACTGATCTTGGTAAGCAGTAACAGAAGACACGGTCATCAAACACATCATTACATATATATGCATAAACTTGGTTTCAGAGGACGTATTAGGTACTGGTTTCAGAGAAGCTGCTTCCAGAAAAAGACTAGGACAATCCTACTATAATAATAATCAATTAGTACCGGCCAGATCGTTCGCCGCAAGAGGCTTACTAAAATAGTACTGCAGAGCTATGCTACTGAATGTTCTGGCATCAAAATGTGGAACGCAAACACCGAATACGCTGTAAAATGTTCAATATTAATCGCAAAGATAATAGGAAGGGTTCAGAATCGGCCAGCCGCTTAATCAATCGGTGTTAATTAGAAAACAGAACCGTCTATTTTCGTGCGCAAGCGGGCGCTGTGGAGTAAACGATAACCGTATTAAAAACAATACGAATATTTGGCTAGACTTTGTGTCGATGTGATCCTCACCTTAAATTCAGCTCTACTTCGTCACTTCCACAAGACCTCATACGCATAAAGCACTCGTTCTGTTCCCGTATCGTGCGTCCTGTGACGGTTCTATCAAGAGATTATATAAAACGTCAGTCCAGTTTGCCTGGCCGATGGTCACAATCGTTAACAGATATCCCCTTTATCCACCTATAGTTGATTCCATTGAGATATACAATACAGTACATTTCGGCTATACTTCAATTCCTCACAACGAACAAAGACTAACAATATATTAGTGCCCAACCTACACGATCGTAATCGGCCTGCTCTAGCTTCCACAAAACGTTGTGACATTCAAGAATAGGTACCGTACCCGTGTAGCTTCGGTGTTAGGTGCTATCAGTATATCGATGAAAAGCAGCTTCCTCTGCAAGTACGATCCTCTATTTTATTGGAACAATCATACAATGTAGAGTAAAAGTGGGTTTATAGCCGAAAACAATGTAGACTTAGCAATAGAAAAATGTAGCCTTCATTTTCCAACGGAAGGTAGGTTTCCAGTTGATATAGATGCTGCATCAACTGCAGACCTGTTTTTTTCACAGTTAGCAAGTTCAGCGTTTCCCTATTTGTATACGTCAAGCTTTCCCTACTGTAAGCCTACTTCTGCTTCCCTCGGTTTAACTGTCTCCTGTAACCATAACACAATAACGTGCTCTTTCGTTATAACAGATCGTACGATAAATATTAACTAATACGTATATTCGCAGAGCCCCCCATTTCAACACCACATTGTCCGCGACTATACGGAATCTTCCCTGATAATAACAACTGCCGAGTTTTCTATTCGTGTTGGAACGGAGAGTCGTCTCGTTATGAATGTCCGCCCGGACTCGCCTACGACAACGATCAACGTGTCTGTGTGTGGGCCGATACTGTTGATCGATGCGATCAGCGCGGTAAATTATATTTATAATAAAATACTATGTGGCTATCCATTCATACCCAGAATTTACTTTTGCAGCCTATAAACATTAAACCTAGAAACAACTATATCGATATATGTCAAATACTATGCGTTTTACAGAGAAACGATCGATATAGACTACGCACTGTTTCACATATACACATTTCTTTAATAATGGTTGGTTAGTTCAAGCTCGACTTGTCGTTGTGTGTTCCATGCGCTGCGGGCCATTTTATGATAACGTATTATACACTCCTTATCCGTATGCGCATACAATTAAGACCTTTTTAAAATTGCAGAGGTCGCCGAAGGCTTCGTGTGCCCCGATCCCGCTGAAGCTGATGCCCCTGGAGTTTTTACCCGTCACGCCCATCCTACTGATTGCCGAAAATTCTACGTGTGTATCGAGGGCCAGGCGCGTCCATACGGCTGCTCGATCGGAACTGTCTTCAACGTGGATACTCTCCAATGCGACGATCCTGAGAACGTCCAAGGATGGTGGGTGTCATAGGTCCCGCGTCCGTTCGATCAAATTAGACGAACGCAGAACTGCGGGGCCTGTTACGCCTACTCATACAACATTTTCGGCCGATTCCAGCCAAGACCACTCGCTAAAATGCATTTGAACCGTCTATCGATTCTTGGCTATTTCTTTTCCCTCCTTCCAATTCTTTTTCTTTTTGTATTTAACAATGTTAGATTTTTCACTGGTACTAACATGACTTAATCATATCTGATCAAACCTTTTTAAAAAACATTATTTTTATAATTTTTCTCCAAGAGTACTCTTTGCTTTTATAAAAATTCTTTTTCTCGGTGCAGTGTTTCTGCAAGATTTTCGAACTTCTTCTTTCTCTTCACTGATTTGTATGAGACAAACTTTTTGGGGATGTTCTGAATTCCTAACAACGTGTTCCGCCTATCTTATATATGAAACTTTCAAGTATACAAATTCATATTCATTCATTTTGTCGTAAGTGACAAAATCGACCAACTTCACAACGATATAAATGTATTACCTTTACTACTTATTTTAAAAGCATGTTATCTGCTTTCCCACCTTTAATAGCATGGCTCGCATATGATACAGTGCTTGATCGATATTTTTTTAGATCCTGTTTTAGAAAATGGTCATTATATCAATACTTTCCCATTGTCTTCTCTGCTAAGCCTTACGCCTTCATCTAACTCTGATAAGTGAACTCTTTGCTGAAATCGGTCCTGCAAAGCCCTATGAATGATTAATACGTCTTTGGAGATATTCATTGTTGTAACCTAGTTATAGAAACAACTTTGATTTACACTACTTGAGTCACTAATTTTGTCTATATGTGTGTTAACTGCAACTCCGTGAAACGTCATACTTTTTCGTCTCGTCATTATGCTCAGTTTAATTTAAACATATTATTTCGGAAAACACTACATAAATATATAATCGCTAAGTTGTTACGTTAGATGTTTGACGTAACTGACAATGCCTGCACTGTGGAATGGGCATGTGCACCGAGCCTATGCTGCTACTAGCTTTGACAAAAATAGCTCGAAATTTTAAGACTTTCCGCCGTCTTTCTGGGTGAAGGCACGCGAAACCCTTTCACGTCAATCATCTTTTGACTACGACCATGACTATCTTCCGTTATTTGTTTTTGCCTCGACCCAAATATGTCTTCACTGGTGAAAACAGGTGGTGGGATTTTGCAAATCGCCCATTCCGTCCCTTACGCAACACCTCTCCTACCGATAGAGCATTGATGCATTGAATAGCACAGATTTCTTATAGCCTTTTTCAGAAACAATAACCCCCTAGTGATTATTATACATTTACATTGTGATCCTTCGTCGTTTTTGCAGTCTAGCATCATCATATAGTATTTCATAATACCTTGATGCTATTTTCTTAAGCACTGCCTGAAACCGCCTTGTCTTACCTCGCATCCTACCTTTTGCCATCCGAATGCCTATTGTATATGTCCTCTTGTCAGTTCTGACCTACCAACCTATGTATTCAATCTTTGCGTACCCAACAGCAAGATATAATGCGCACGATGTCATCTTACGCACAGCTGATGTGCTCGTTGTCTAGCAGATGTCTCTAAGGCTTGCTTTGCTTTGCAGTGAAAACTACTACGGAGACGACACCGAGGTGAAGCTCCTAAAGAAGCAGCAGCAAAAGGCCAAGGCTAAACAAGGAAATCAGAGAGATCAGGACAACTAAATCAGGCATAAGACAAACGAAGAGACATCAGTATAAAACGTATAAATGGATATTGGCTTCGATCAGCCAACGCTTCCAGCCAAAGTCATTAGATTAACTGAGAAAGGACCTGCTTACAGAAACAAGTGACACCGTTGTAGTCGACCACTTCATTCTGCCGATGCTATGTACGTTCCAGTGTCGAGTCTAGCCCAGCCCAGCCCAGCCCAACCATATGAGCTGATTAGCAGTTGTCATCGGAATTGGTCGTTTTTCTCTAATTTGCCTGCCTGGCAGCGTAAAAGAACGAAGTAACCTTCATAACTTCAATAATCACAGCAAACGTTATCCCTTCTAAATAGCGAGGGTGATGGCAGGGTCGACGCAAAAAAGTAAATCATACTTCATTAAAACAGTTGTCGGCCGTCCCGACAAGCAGATTTGCCCGTTTCGCTCCCCGAAGGCTAATCCTTCCACCCCTAAGGGACGGGAAGGCAATTGATTGATGTGAATCAAGTTAATAACTAATAAATATAAAGTAACAAGACAAAGAAAGGTAATTATACGATGGACGCCGACAATGTGATTATGATGAATAATAATAATTATTATTATTTTCTGCTGCTCGCGTAATGTCAGCTAATTACGACTACGTAATAATAATGATGATGACGATACCGTTGTTATTATTGATGAAAGTGAACGTGCCAACGAAATGAGCAGAACCGGCGTCTCCTTATAATGGCGTCTTCTTGTAAAATACGTAGCATAATATAAAAGATACGAGCATACGCAATGAAGAAACAAGCTATGAAAAAAAAATAATGATGATAATTGTGAAGAAGACAGAAAAACAACGAAACAAGCTGAATACAAATGGTCACTCAATGAAAGAACTCACATAAACAGCCACAAGATGTGAACTGAAAGCCACAAACAGACAGACAAGCATTTATTCATACATTAACAGACATTGTATGGACATCAATCGTGTCACGTTATATTATTGTGTGGAGTGAAATAAAAAAGGGCCGGATAGTTTTTTTATTATTAATATTATGTATGTAAATGTGTTTTCAGTTATTAACATGTTGATGTATAGAATGGCTTTTTCAAAGGATCAGGGTGCTAATGTTTTCCTGCAGTAGGAACTGATATATAGATCTTTATTTGACAATATTGAATTATACTGCTGAATCGTCGAACTCTGTGAATTTTTGATTTAAAACACTGTTCATTTAATCATATAAGCTAAAGATTTAAGAAGTAACGTGTTACTGTTTTGGGTTCGTGCGAAAAGATATTCGTATTCCTGCCCTCGTAATTTTAGATCCTTGATCATTCAGTTCAGAGTAGGCATCAAGTTAAATATACAGTATCTGACATACAACATAGTTTTGTATATAAAAGGCTACCGTCTATTTAGTAAACCAATAAGCTCCCGATAATGGATAATTTTTTGACGAATTCCTATGATACAATATCTCAGAGACTAAATTAATGTGGACAGCCAATCCTGTAGCTGATTTGCGCCTTACTATAAACTTTAGACAGCAAAGCTAAACCTGGTTTTGTTGGTGGCCTGGACTGTCTCATAGCTCCCAGCTCTGAATTCCCCATAAAATTTCGGCGTGTGGAACACTAGAATAGAACTTCCGATTTGACTTTTAGCCGCTTTTCTCCTCAAACAGTTTTGAGGTTGAACAAGAAATCATAACGACATCACTTGTTATTACAGTTCTATTGCACATATCCCAAAAAAATGGGCCTACTATCTTTTGGTTAACTTCTTTACTATGCTGGTTAACAAGCCTTCGGTACCCGCGACGTGGGTCGTACCTTCCATACAGTTGTTACTATTGAATTGAGCCTACCACCACGAATGTGTGCAAATATTAATCAGATAGTTTTCTAAAAAAAGTTGACATTGGGCCTCAGATCATGTTTACCATTTGCTTAGACTGAGCAAATGCGATATTCACCAAGTTAGTAATGTAAACTCATCTCTTTTTTTCCCATGCTCAAAATAACTCTTTAGTTAAGCTGACACACTATTATAAATTTTTTATTATTAAATTAATTTTAAAAAAGTTATAAAACAAATATTAGCTAATTTGTTGTTCAATTTTCAATTTTTGATAAACTCGTCCAACAGTCCACTTCGTGCCTATGTGGATAAACTTAACTTTGATGCAAATCAAATCAATGTACGTTTTTTTGTCCAAATTAAAGTATAATGTACTTCTAATATCGATCACCCATGAATACTAATGAAAGTTTGACTACACTGGTTTACTGGGAGATGGTTCTTGGTTTCATAGAACATTTTAATTGATACAAATCTATCGGCTAGGCTCCCTTACATAAACACTTAGATAAACATTGGTACATAATTTCCTTATATCAAAGTTTGATTTAGATTTACCCATCGAACTCCCCACGTATGTTCCGAGAATTTCTGAACCCCTAAAACAGCCACTAAAATGCGCACTCTATGGATAGGGCTCAATATTTACAACATGTTCAAAAAAATTAAACAATGTTAATTTGCTATCTACCACAAGCGACATTCTTTTGCATTATATGTTCGCGTTTAATAGTGGGGTTTAAACAAACCCTTCACATATCGTTTCCAGTCGCTAGTGAATTCCGCTGCGTACCAATAAACCGGTGATAATACAGAATTTATATATATATATATATATATATATATATATATATATATATCTAATAAAAAGCCATCCTTATGTATCTCCTGAAACAGGCTAATAAGATAAGAATATTTTTCGTAACGGCAACTTTATTTAAATTCTTTCGCTTTATTTAGATTCTTTAGCAACAAACTATTCAGAGTCACTTGAATTTGTTGAGGACATTCTACACATTACATCCTGTATTAAAAGTTCGACGCTGTACAATATGCTGAATTAAGCTAGGACCATCAATGGATGACGATACGGGCCTAAACAAGTTAACTTTCTAAACAACTGATTCCTTTCACTGACGTATTTTATAGCGTGAATTTGTGTTTGATAATTCCAACTTTTGCTTTATAGTATTAGAGTATTTCGAGGTATACAATCAGTCATCTATAAGAAAAGACAAACTCACCACAATGAACACATTGGATCAGTACGTGATAAGCCTCAGAAAAGAGATTCTATATCGCGCTCTGTATCCTTTTACTGACGATAGGTAATTATAATTTAACACAAGTAAAAATCAGTCAGTAAATTATGTTAATGACTGAGATTTTTGTGAAATGATCGGCGAATAATGGCCTTTCCTTTGCTCAAAAGCCAAAGATAGTTAAATTATCAAACGCCAGCGCAATCGTTTCGTTTTTCCTCGAGTATTTATAGTCAATAGCTAAAAATTATATAACATACACCGCTTATAAGACAATACTGGGCCGCTTCTTCGATCATACAAAGATCCTTCAGCTTTCTGTAAGTCCCGTTTCAACTCTGAATAAATGCAATCTTAGACGAAAATTGCAATTAGTTTCACTTCTTTATAGTTAACATCATCATCATCGTCAAAAGGAAATGGAAGTCTAATGCCACGATAAAACATAGAGTTTTCTTTGTAAAAGAAAAAATGTCTCAGTTTTTCGTCGTTCTTATCATTTTTTGCTGTTCCAATTTCTTCGCATCACTCACTGTTAGAAAACAAATCGTTAGTAATTCCTTCCAACTCCAATTCACTCGCTGTAGTTTGTCATTAGTTACGAGAAATATCACAAACTACTGTCAAAAAAGTATCTTCGACATACATAGTTCGTATTTACTTATAGTTCGTGAGTAGATACTACATATAGCGCGTTCCTCATTGCGGGATTAAAGGAAACCCTCTGAACGTACTTGGTAAGACCATACAACATAATTTCGACGACAGAAACCTCGATATTTTCTCGTACGCCACTAAAAAAAGAGATCGAAGCAGTTGTGGTGTACAGGGGCCAAGATTTGCTCTATTGTCCTGATAGGATATTTACACAATGAGCGAAGGGCAGTTATGCATTGGGGCCAGGCCGTATCTATTTAGCTACTTTTGTTCGGATTCCTATGCGCAAAAAATGTCGTGTTTCTCTAGATGCTTGTACACAGCTGTCCTTATCCTATTGTCAGGTTCAATTACATACCGTTGAAAGCCTCAAATCGCAGCCTGTTCTACCCTACTACTACTACTTCCCAAGCATTATTACGTAATAAAGTGATGCGCCCACTTCGTTTACTCACTCTAGACATCTACCTAACCGTAGCAAAATGTATGTCTGCATGCCTTTCTATGCATATGCGCAAAACTGAACAGTTAGTCTTCATCTTCAGATAACTAGCAGCTGCAGTCAGGCATAACCTGCAATTTTTAGAGATTCGTACAGTCCAGCGCCATTTTGTTCGTCTTATGACTTAACTAAAGCTTCTATTCGGAATCCGAATCATCATCGTCCATTTCTTCATTCGCCACTTCGGGCATAGGAAAACGTAAAATAGCCGCCACACCCGTCAGGTGGTCCAGGTTCTCGCCCGATACATGTAAACTGCTGAAAATCTTCACGTCGCCGCCGGCGTCGCGCACGTACTCAACCAGACTGACATACCGCCGTCTCTCAGCCACGTCTTGGCACCTATTTACAGAAGAAAAAAGACCAAGAACAACAATTTTATAACTAAATTGGACTTATAGCCGCTAACTACTAGGTGAAATTATTGGGAGACCATGCTACGCAAAATCTAAGCAGCGTGAATAAATAATATAGTAATGCCTATAGCGCTGCTGGCTGTGCAACAATGAGAAGGAGAAATATGAAGCATTTTGGACAGATAGTGCAACATTTGAAGAGATATATGAATGTATTAAGGCAAATACTAGGTGATAATTGACAAACCTGAAAAGTTTATCAGAAATTAGCAGTGTGTCGATTGCTTGTGCGTCGGCAGCTTTCTCAACGTGTTTAGGACCATATAAAGCCCTATCTGGTTCCTGATGAAGAACCTGGAAGAACTGATTAAGAGCCTTTACTTCGTTGGCGGCTTTCGTGTCGGCCAACTTTGCTTGGACAGTCGGATCTTCAAGCACATCTGTAACAATAAGTATCAGCTAATTTACCACTATTTCAGTTAAAAATAGCTGAAACCGCAAGCATTTCCTATGATTCTATAGGCTGTTTTTTAACAACTGTTGACCTCAAACTGTCTCTACCGAATTGTTTCTTACGATGTCGATACTTTTACTGAAAACATTTGTCTATGCCATTAACAAACGGTAACCTCGAAGTTATGACATATGTTTCGATTGTCACTGGTTCAATGAGTTACCTCTGAGTGCGGCCTTAAAACCGGAAGACGAATGAGCAAGCACGAACTTTCCCTTGTTATCGAGAAACTGTTTGCAATCCTGCTGAGCAGCAGTGGTCATAATATACTTGAAAAATTGATCCTTTACAAAGCCAGGGCTTGCTAACAGCACGCATTTAACCACTGAAATGAAATTTTAGTACAAATTAAGTTCAAAAGCCAACTGTTAAATGATCTTCAGTTCGGTTACTCATAATAATAATTATTATTGCAAAAGTAAATTCGTTCCCTTCTCTATTCCGGTTTTGTTCTTCCAACCAGATAACAACAATCAACCTGCGGGATACCACATGCAGCAAACGTCGTCGGTCATCTACTGATGACGGAAAAAAATCAATCAATCATTTAAGGTGGCAATAATATGCGAATGCCAATCATATTTTACATTCAAGTGTCACGAAATATTTTACGAATCACAGCAAACACGAAGCACTTATTTCTTACCATCGAAGTTGACATGTTGCTTAATTGCTCGAAGGATCGCGTCAAAGAATCGACTTATGCCTCTATCGTGCTGACCACACAATCCTTTTCTTTTTCGCGGGATTACCATTTCGATCTTCGCGCGAACAAGTGTCATTACCGAAGTTACAAGGCAGACGTGGGCAATTCCCTCCTGCAACATGGTTGTATCAAAGATCGGATGACGCCTTAAATTTATGAAAATGAACAATAAATTCCTTCAAGTGCATAAAAGAAGTGATATAGTATGAAAAAGTAAATAATGATTTGATAAATTCATTAACAAACAATCTGACATTTGATAGCAATTTTATGTACTCAAATCAATTAGAAAAATTCGACCTCGTATAATCACTTGCCTGCATTACGACGGCGGCTACCTCGGCATTTAATGTCGGATCACAGGCTTGTTGTAGCCTTTCAAGATGGATTACATCCCAATTGGACTTGATAAGTTTGAATGTTCGATTAACTTCCAAATCTAGTGTGTGGTACGCTCCAAGCTGTAATTATTGGAAGCCAAAGGGTTTTGTTTTCGATGTATTTTTTGACATGGCTTCTATTGATTCATATGGAAAGCGGATCATAATGTTCGAGGATTAGAGCCTGAATAATGATGACGATATGGTCTGTTGTAGTGGTCTCGTCCAGTCTCGAACAGACATTGCTTAATAAAACACGGTCTCCAACTGTAAGCCATCTTACAGAGATCTTCCAGACCCGCAGACAAACACAAAGAAGAATGGGGCTCAGACCTTCCGAAAAGTAATAGATTTATGTTTTACCTTCACATATTCGTTTTCCCTGATGTTTCGTCCTTTCACGCGTAGCACACATCCAGCGGTATCAAAGTCGATGCTCTCCACGCGAATCGTCAATGTCGTCCGAACGCGGGTGCTATCTGTTGATCCAGTAGCTGATTCTGTGACGACCTTTCTATAAAACAGTAACGGCAACTATACTTAAGGGCAATTTCAAATTCGTCTAATGAATTTAAATTGTAGTCGATAATAGCTACCTTTGAGATCTCAAAATTTTCTCGCAGACAGTAGTTGAAGACAAGTCAACCTGATATCAGGCTCACAAGCGGTACAAAGATAAAGGATAGCTTTGGTTCGTAAGATATTTGTGGATATGGATGCGACAACTCTTTCTATAAATGGTACGTGCCGCTAATTGACATACTTACCGTATTGTGGATGCCTCAAGGATGTCATCTTCGTTAAGTAAATTGTAGATATGCCACATATCTTCAGCCTCCTCGGGAGTAAGACGGACAGAACTACTCAGCCGTTTAGGTAGGTGTATCCATTATGCGACGAAGGCGATTACGATACCATGCCGTGTGCCACGGAGCGTTTACATAAAATACAATGAGCAAATAATAATAAAGACAGCAAAATCTATATATAAAAATATGGTGATTCATAATTATTACCGTCTGCAAGACAGCAGTTGACCTTCACAAGTAATGTAGAATAATCATAATAGAATAAGGGCACTTCCAACTCATTGACCAGTGAAGTCGAGGAAACATAGTATAAGGAGGGTAGGATTTATTTTAACTACTTTTCAGTAGCCTCTTACGTTTACTATACAACTACGTGACATTTTCTATCTCAATGTTCATTTCTGAAATTTGAACTTTGACAGTCTTTTTGGTAAACTCTCATGTATTTCATCATTTCTTTCTCTCATGTGTTTTTTTTATTTTTAAAATCAAGGAACGGCAGGAAGTGATCACGAGTCAATAAGGTGTGACGATTTCAATTGTTAAAACAAATGCAACCACAAATAAACGATTGCATGCCCTAAAGACGTATCACTTCTAGCTAATAGTATTTGACACCGCGAGATAGAGGTACCTGTATTTGTATCGAACACTGCTAGAAAAAACTTACCCACTGCCATCTTTTTCGAAGTATTTGCCGACTTGTTTCATGTTTGTTTTTGTTACCCGGACGCACCAAACTCTTATGAATATATCACAGTACAAGGCATTATGTCAGTTCACTCTAGCCCACGTTCAACTAGTCAATCATTATTCATTACAAAGCTACGATTACGCATCCAAATGCATATTCAAATGTCTCTTACTATGTGCTCTTCGAACACCATTTTAATATTTGCATGAATGCCCGTTCCGATTATTTGGACAGTACGGAAAACGAACTCCGTAGTCAACGGCTCAATTTCGATGCGACGTACTTAGATGTCAGCAGGTTAATTAGCTACATAGAGGTCGCGAATTTGAGCACACAATTCTCAGCATAAATAGAACGTGTGTTAAAGTCATCATTTATGATTTTTCCGAATCGTCTCGTAAACGAAGGAACAGTGAGTTAATATGTCATTACAACCATTAGGACGGCCGCGACGCTGACGACCAGCTTGACGTGGTAGCTGTTTGAATCTCTCTCGTGTCGTGAACTTTCACACGGGTATCAAAGAAACTACTTCAATGTAGAATTGAAACCGACCGAATGAAAGCATACCACTTGGGAAAAATCCCTGTATATGATTGTTTTGTTACTACAACAGGATTTTCGCTATTTCTGATTCAGGAGTCGATGGTTTATACTACTCATCCCTTCGATTCAGCATACATAACACAATTTTACGTGTGATGATAGTTTATTTCTTATTTTTATACTGCCTGAATGGGCTTAAAATTTAACAAGCAGTTGAAAGGATAGGTCGAACTTTTAGTGTGTAAAGTTTTTACTGATTACTGTAAAGACTAATGTCAAGTTTTAGAATTTGACTCGTTATTTAATGTTTTTATCACAGAAATGGCCCAAAAAACCGGATTATGCCACTTCTTGATTATGGAGTGATCAATGTACGTGGAGATGTTTAGCTCGGCAACGCGAAACACTAACAAAACTATAGTCGAATTTCTTAACGAATTTAATATATCAGTATAGTGATATGTCCGTATGAGCAAATCGATATGTAGCGGTCCGAGTGGACGAATACCACTAATGTTGAAAAAGCGATTGGAGCCTTTACGGAAATGTTCTACCGGCCGTGACAAAGCAATCATACCAAAATAGGTTTTTACAGGAGAGTTGGATGAAAGAGGAGAACTGTAAATAGGTGGATCAATATCACAGTGCTTAGTAAACATAGGCGTACGAGGTAAACGGACGAAGGCAGATTTACAAGAGTTATGTAAAAGCAAATTCAATCTTTAAACTCAGTTTAAATAAGCTTTGTTTAAAGCGACATCGGCTTGAAGACATTAAGATTCACATGCTAGTCCCCTGCTAGAACATTAGAGCATCACTACCAAATTACTTGGCGCAATATCTAATAAATTGTAGCAGCAATCCACGATTATTTTTAAGAGGATATCTAGAAAGCTGACGACGACAGATAACAGATGTAGTTTGGTTTGTGAAAAATTCGTACATTGATTTATGGCTAATCCTTGTCTAAATGTTAGGCCAAAACACCTTGCGGATGAGGTTCATTGAACGATTGCCGCATCAAGATTGATTGAGTTATTTGATATGTTAGTAGAGCGTTGAGAAGTGCCAAAAAATAATATATATTCGAAATATTTACAAAATGCCTAGGTGTTTTATAGCTACATTTAACGTTAGTCAATTCATTCTCAGTATCACAAATGTCTGCGTTAGGGAACCGTTTACGAATTTATTTTATGACAGGACGGTTGTCAGAGAAACAAAAAACTTACAACCTATTTTAACGGGATCCAACATACAGAAGCGACACATGTATACAAAGATCAATCGTTTTCGAGCATGAGTTTCAGTTGGATGTGATCGCTCTGTGGGTACTGGTGTAAAAATATAAGACAAAAAACAGGTATAAAATGAGAAATTTTTGCAAGAGATTTGTAAATATGTATCTATAATGAATCAAAATTCGTTTACAATCAAGAGACTGATCTTAATCACGAAGGTTTTAGTGACGAACTTCTAAACTTTCCATGGGGAAATCTGTGCAAAAAACAATTGAAATTCAATCACAAGCGTGTTGATTCACTAATTCAATTCTTATAGACGAAATACGCTTTGTTAGTATCGACAAAAAAATTCCACAAAGCATAGGTACGGATAATGCAGAGCTTTTTTTACGGAGCGCTCAGCAACAAATTACATTTTAAGGCTTAGAGCACCTTCTAGAAATGAACTGGCTAGATTTATTTAATAATTATTCAGTAGCAGAGTATTAATATAGACCGAATGATGTGTATTGCTCTGTACTGTTCAAACCCTGTATCGAGCAAGACACTTTCTGATATCTGGCACCGAACTGTTCAGCATTTTTATGACGATTCAACGCAACGGCAAACATCTGGAAGCAGCCCTAAATGATGAGTTAATTCAAATTTTATCGATTAACAAAATTAAGCAAACAGTAAGCTTATTTTTCCAGAAGTGTCCATATATGATACGAGGATTAATCAGCTAAGTTCTAGGATTTGCGATATAACAACAAGAACTATCTACGCAATCAACCCAAGTGTTTTTCGCTCCTCGTATCCGTTCCCGAATACAATACACGTATATACCACTTTTACAATTCCTTGAAGCCCTTCTCTAATAGAGAAGGTCATAGAAACCCGAGTCGGTTTGCTACCAGTATAACAAGATTATCGAGCAAAAAATCTATATTCGTAATGAAGCGTACACCTGTGTGTTGTCACTTCAATTAACGAGCTAGGCTTTCATATAGAGTTGTGGCCTCTTATTCCGAACGTACTAAAGTAATAATATCAAACTTTTAGAGAATAATAATTAATTAATAGTTCATTAATAATTAACAAAAATATTTCATTAGCAATTTATATCTCCTATTGTTTGTACTTGTTCTCTATACTTCTAAAAAAAAACTCTAAAAAACTAGACTTCAATTTACAATCCAATTTATTGTATTTCAGATCTGGCACACTGAGTGATATTTTAAGGAAAAAAAATCGACATTTTTAGCTAATGTATTTAAAATATTTTCATTATTTTACTCGACTACACGCTACACCTTGTCATATTCTTAAATACGCCAAAACTAACCAAATACAGATAGTTCTCGTTTCCAAACGAGTTCTCTCCCTAGCTTTTATCTCCAAGCATTTTTTCAGTTCCTTTTCACATTCTTGTACAACACATAACCGCGTCCAATACAGCCTCTATATTTAAAGAGTAAAATATATGCGAAGACGAATACCAGTATTAAATAAAAGGGCAGAAATACAATTTTTAGACATTTAGTCCATTTATTTACTGTATTTACGTTTATAAGTATTTAGACTGCAAGTCGATATTTACACTTATACATATACACAATAAAATTTTGATTTGTTAATAACGAGGCGTATTTTTTGTAGTGCCGTTTGAAATGCTAGAGTTTCATCCTTAATCTTGATCTGGTCCCTTAGCTGCTCATTGCTAAATCACACGGCGCTGTACTGTGCTATGTTTACAGCAGAATTATGAAAAATGTTGCTTTAGGCATCTAAAATAAATGTCCAAATAAAACTCTACTTAATAAAATCAACACGTACAATTGTATCTTGCAGTATCATTGTTTTTGTCGTACTATGGCCTCCGCATGAGCAGTGATTGATACCGATTCAAATAGAGGTACATTTTATCGTGCACTACGTAATCGTACGTGTTTCTGCAATGCTCTATACACTTTGTGTTATTATTTTGCTTACGTATATGCAATTTCGCGAGTATTGTATTCGTTTTTTTTGTTCATTCAAAGCTTGTTTGGTACGCTGACGCACGCTATTGCCAATGGCAATGGAAACTTGCTTACGCAATCTCCTCACCTAACGTTTTCGTCTACTGTCTACGCATGGAATTTGTTAATATAATTTTGTATTTTACACTGTACAAGTGGCACGTATTTAATATTGGCTCGAATTTTCGCCGCTTTGTGCAGGTCAACGCTTGTGAGTGACCCTCGGATGCTGGCTACGATGTGAAAATTAGTAAAAATGGCACTTTGCACACGATATTACGAGAGATCGACTGCAATTTATTTTATTGGCCAAAAGGGTTCAAGGATACACCATCGGGTTCAAGCTACCCGTGGTTTCACGTATATTTCGGTATAAAAAAGAAAGAAGAACTTAAAAAAGAAAATGCAATATGTACAACAAATTCGCCTATACGAAAAGGGTCTACTATGTACAACACTGGGTGTATCCGTTGAATTTTACTGTCAATGTTTTCTGCTAACACAACCGCCTATTAACATATCCGAAATTGAACCGAAATTTCTATATATATATTATGTACAGTTCGTTTTGGGGGTTTGATCGTAGCATCCTTTCCCGTATGCACTTGAGAAGTCTACCTACTTTTTTGAATTAATCCAACTTCGGGTACTTTGTAACAATGACACCATAACGTCTGCCATTTGAATAGGATCGGCGGTTTGATGAAGCTAACTTATTAACAAGCGCATCGATAAGTATCGGTAATTCTAAATTCTAGTCTCTATTTCTGTATATGGCAGTTCATACTGTCGTTACTAAACGTATTCTTCTTTCGTTTTTGATTGACGACCACTCGGGCCACGATGATTGGCGCTCCGGTTTGAGTATGTTGAGTCTTTTGAAGCTTGGCGTGAATGGGCAATGTTGTGTAAGCTGCCCCCATGAACATTAGATGCGTGTGTATTCGCCGTGTGCACACTGTGTATGCTACCATGTATGGATGCACGTTTCGTTGAAAAGTTCGAGTCTCGGGAACCCTGCCGCGAGTGTACAATCGGAGCCCCAGCTGGCATGGAACAAAACGTCGAGTCACGTGAATTCTGCCGTGAGTGAGCAGCTGCGGCAGCTGTGCCTGTCGCTCGCAATTGCGATAATGATCCAATGCGTAAGGGAGGTGGCTGACTCCAAGCAGCTGATAAATTCCAATCTGTAGTAGGTGCTCCGGGGGGTCCTGGAGGCGGAACCTCGTAGGCATGGTTTCCTGTGTTATAGATCTTATCCTCTAGTTCCGTATCTGTGTTGTTGTCCACTGTTCCGTGCCCGTAAACACGCCGAGATTCCGATGGTTGTTGCCGGCGCTTCGATCGCTGGCGGATCTTCTCGTAATTGTGCTGTCCATTGTATTCGAACTCCGAACATGTAAAACTTTCGTTACCGCCAGATTCGTCAGCGCTTGAGTCATCTTCACGCACATCGGTGTTCGCGTCTCCGTCGTCAGCATGTAGCGAGTTCAAGGCATGACCAACGTCGTCATCGGTATCAGATGTCACGCCGTCTAGAGTACGTACGAGGCTGGAATTGCGACGGAAGTTAAGCCTATCAATTTCATCTTGTGTGAGGCCTAGCTCTATTTCTCGCGTAGGTGTGCCCTTTAACTTCGCTAGCTGAACGGTAGTCATCGGCTTTGCGGGTACTGAGCTTACGGTTATTTGACTTTGACTCGATGGCGCTTGACTGCTGACTGGTGATGTGAGTCCAGAACACTCCGAAGCGCCCATTGTGCCTTTGCCTGCCAACAACGCTCTCTGGATAGGCTTACCCGAAATGTCCTGTAGCGTTAGGATACGGGGTGCTTGTTGGGACATCTCACTTGATGGGCTCAGACGCGCTAACGGTGCGCTGTTCTGTGATAATGCAATTCCCACACCGCCCAGAGGGCTTAACCGTTGAGACAACGCGCTATGGTTGGTATCTCGAGCAAGCACAAGACTTGAAGAACCGTGAGAGATGCTGCCCGGACTAAGACGGTGGGCCGAAGCTGCATATGGTGGAGGAAGTGGGACGCTGTTATTTGGCAAGTGTTTGCCACCCTGTCCTTTGCGAGCGCCGTCGCGGAAGGCCTTATAGTGATAAACGATGTCGATATCCGAGGGGGCAATACTAGAAGCGTTCTCTAGGTCGTAACACTCAGGTATTTCTGAACTTAGAGGTGCATTTGTAGCTTCAGAGTTTAACAAAGCAAAACGTGGCATGGGTGTTGAAACCACGGCGTTACCATCGAAAACTTTGGCGTTCAAAGGCAAGATAGGTACAGCGGACAGAGCGGCATCAGGAGGAACTCGCATGATCTTTTTCGGCGGTCCTGCGTGAGGACCATCTAATCGGCCACTTGTGACACTGGCTGCATTATTCTGAAGCATAATATCCTCTTGATTATTATTCGTTACACCATTCGTGTTCGTCCCGCCAGCCACGTACGTGTTCGAGATCTTATCTTTAGCTTTGTTGCCCCCTGTTCGCTCTTGTAGTTTACACTGTTTAAAGGTCACATAGCTGGCCAATAGGCCGCAGATAAGAATTGCAAAAAATACAACCACCGCGATGACGCCGATGTTTAACGGGTCACGAGCAGAGCCCAAAGCACCTCCGGCATCATCGCTACAGCCCACGGCAGCGGATCCCCGCACTGCGAGTGAAAAATACGTAGCCCGGGTCGCATTAGCGTTCGCCGTTTGTAACTCGCCGTTGACTGCTATGCGTCGTATACAGCCTTGTAATGCGGGTGTCGACATGGCACGGACTAGTTCGTCGCTTCCAGTTGACTGTGCTTGATTCGTAGGATTTTGCTGATTTAGAAAAGGTTTAGGTGGACCGCCAAAAGCTATCACTGAAACGAATGGGTCAAGAAAATCATGGACACCGCGGCCCATGTGACCACCAGAGATCGTAGCGGGAAAAACACTTCCTTGTCCTGTAGAAGGTGGACGGAGTTCGACTACGGCATGATCGACGGAAAGGCTAACCCAAAGCGCGGGGTAATTATAACGAGTGAGTGTTACCAAATGCCAGGAGCCGTCTGCAACTGGAATATCTATTGACGCTGACAAAACGCGTTCGCCTGCACGGAGCAAATATGCGAAAAATGTTAGGATGTTGGTTGTACTCGGCGGTTGACCAGTCATATAACAATAATTTGATTTTTGTAAGCATACAAAGGAAATTCTCTTTATGTATGCAGTGGAAACTTACCTTTATATTGAGAACGATACGTAAGGGTCCCGGCAACGAGTTCTAGCAAGGTAAAGTCTCCTTCCGATTCTGACAGTAGCAGAAGTCCTTCGAGGTTTTTTGTACGGAAACTAAACGAGAGAGTTTTTGCCGGTTCGGGCTCAAGAGAACGCTGGGACGACATCGGGCGGTTGTTTCCGCTGTTGCTAACTCCACCGTGATGCAAATGAGACCTAAAGTGAAGCGACGATTCGTTGAGCAAGTCTCTCATAACATCTTAAAAGCACCTTCTTTCTTAAGGACAGGGCGTCGTTAAAAATACGGTATGGTTGATTTTTTTGTTTGTAGGTTGACCCACAGCGTTCACTTTGATATCTCTACTCGGTATTTTTAAAGGAATGAATTTATTAAAATTGGAATTTTTATGTAGACTTTGTAAACATGGATATGCTTGTACCTTTTATGTTTTTCGTTGGGTGTCATCTCGACAAAACCCGCCCCGTTTGCTGTTAATGAGAAGGCTTGCTCTGGAGCGTCTAGTGCCGGTCCGCAATCACTTGCAATTAGTCCAGAAGGGCAAACACATGATGCCGAGAACCACTCATCGATACATTGACCGCGCAGACCGCAAAGATCATTGCCTGATCCATAGGTTGTAGTTGGTCCAGACGAGGTTGGAGTGCTTCCCGGCGTTTTACCGACGCTGCAAGGATCCGCAGGGCGAGGGCATTGATCAGTGACGTGTGCCGACCTTACCGGCGCATCAAGCTGTAGGCTTTTGCCATTTACGGCCACAGAGTGGACACAGCCAACGAAATCATCCGACGCCAGTTGCCCAGGACGCTCCACGATTGACTCCACGAGCGGTAGCCCACCCAGGTAAAGCGGATAGTTGTTGAAAGAAAGCGTGCCTATAAGAAACAAGACGCATTGAAAAAGACTAGTTTCCTTATAAGCACGCATTTGTACAAGAGAAAGTAGATCTATTCACAACGATTCACTTAAACGTATTTAACTACGCTATATAGGGTCGTAGAAGTTCCAATAAAAGGACGTGTCTTGCATCGTATTGACTTCAACATAGGATTGGACATACCTGTGTGACCGGTGATGGAAGCAGAGCAGGAGGTGTTACCCGGCGCACAATCATCGCAGAGTTCACCATGGTGCTGGCAAGAAGCAACGGCCAGAGCAGCCGTACGCCCATTGCGAATGACACTAACCTTGTGCCAACGTCCGTCAGCGAGGTCACCACCGGCACTCACGCGGCTAATAGCTGATCGTGCACCTCCAAAACTGAACCGAGCACGTCCCTCAACAAGTTCAAGGGCGACGAAATCGCTGCGACCTCCACTTTGTCCTCCGTAATTATAAGCTAATAAGGCATCACGTTTACTGGTAGCGAACACGATCGAGATATCATTGGTTCCTGCTCGCAAGGTAGGGAATTCCATAAATGAGTATGGGTGGAAGCCGAACGTCGATCGTTCACAGTGGCGTCCATAGAAGTTTGCTGGGCACGCACAACGGTACCCGGCAGTGCTAGTTGACGTGGCTCCGGGAGTCTCTGACACACAAGTGCCGCCATTACGACAGCGGTTAGGTCTGCATCCATCGCTGGTCTGCTCGCACAGGGCGCCTTTAAAGCCCGGTCGACAAAGGCAGAAAAAGGCGCCGCCCCCAGGAGCGCTCTCACATGATCCGCCATTACGGCAAGGGGTACTCGCGCAGGCGTCCACTCGCTTTAATTCACAGTGTCGGCCGTGTAAATGCGGTGCGCATACACAACGATAACCTTCCTTCGAATCGTAATGACAGGTGCTGCCTGAAGCGCACGGGTTGGGCGAGCAGGGTTCTCGTTGTATTTCACAAGCAACACCGGAAAATCCTGGTGGACACGCGCAGCGAGGACGGCGTAACACGACAGGCGTCGTTATAATCCTGCTGGGAGAGCTGCTGATTTGCAGACGGCCGCGGTTCTCCAAACGTGACTGGCAGTGAGCTCCGTTGAGGCACGGTCGAGCGTCACATGGTTCGTAGCCGACAGTGAACATCGAAGCTAATTCGGCAGATTCGCGCAACGCTGTCTTCACTTCCGATGGCAAAGCATAAACACCTGATCGTTTCTGTACGGCCAGCGTTACTTGGAGCGAATGGTGATGACTAGGCGGAGCTTGTTCGTAGCCTTCAGTTCCACTAGGAACAAGTGGAGGTTCCTCTTCCGCAATGCTGAACACAAGAGGAGTCCCAATGTAGCTAGTGGCATCGTCAAGCAGCTTTACGAACATGTCATAATCTTTAGCGGATACGAAGTCGTCAGCTGATATCCCTTTCGTCGTCCGTAACGTGACAGCGTGTTTGACAGCAATATCATCAAATGATCGGAAGTGTACCGACACGCTAGACCTCACATCAGGATGACGGCCATCATTGCCACGGACGCTGAGGGAAAAGTTCTGTGGACTCTGGGTGCGACGGGCATGTAAAGAGCAGTGTCGAGCGAGACTAAATACGGAATCTTTGCCTGAGTCACTTAGACGACAGGAGTAATCTCCGACGATGTCAGGATCAAGCGGGGCCACTTCGGCGATTTTCCCACCAGGGAACACATTGTTTAGCACCCAAACGATGATAGTAACGTCGCGAGGACTCGATGGGTTGTCGTTTTTATCACGAACACGAACAGTGATGCATGTACGAGACTTGTGTGTAGGTACTCCACTGTCATGCGCTTCAACAATAAAGCTCAGCTCCGGAGTGGTTTCTCGGTCGAGCGACGTCGTTGTGCGCACGAGACCACTGTGACGCTCAATCTCAAATTTATCCGCATGTGGACCGCCGACCAGCAGGTAAGTGAAAGGTCCGGCGTTAGGAGGAAGATCACGGTCGCGAGCGCTCAGTGCCATAACCGAACTGTACGCGGGTTCATTTTCTGCCACATAGCCGATCATATCTGCGTCGTCGAAGTATGGAGCATTATCATTTATATCATCGACAGTAACAAGCAGAGTTGCAATACCAGTTTGTGGTGGAGTTCCATTATCGACCGCTCCAATGGTCAGGTTGTATTCGGAAACCTTTTCGCGGTCGAGGCGAGACGCCGTATGTATATCACCAGTGTGCGGATCTATTGCAAAGGCATTCTGGTTGTTACCATTTAAAATGGTATAGTAGAACTGATTGTTGTTTGGTCTGACGTCTTTATCGGTTGCAGTTACAGTCAGAATGTAGCTTGCTGTTTCGGCGTTTTCGGAAACTTTGGCTTGGTAGATTAACTTGTTAAATAGCGGAGGATCATTTCCGTCAAGAATCGAGATGATCACCTGGGCTTCATCTGTGTCGTTCCCACGAATCGCACCACGGTTTTTAGCGATTGCTGTTAGAACAACACGAGCCTCATCCTCGCGGTCCAGTCGCCGTGCTACTGTTAGTACACCTGTTCGTGAGTCGAGCTTAAAACCTCTTTCGTTCGAGGCTCCTACAAGGAAGTAAAGTACCTCACCGTCAACGCCAGCGTCCTCATCAGTTGCTTTCACTGTTCCGACCACACGTCCAACGGGGTCTGATTCGCTGGCTTGGAACTGGAATACGGGATCGGTGAACTTTGGCAGAAATTCGTTGCGACCGAGAATCTCCACGACAAGCTTGCATGAGCTGAATTGGACTGTGCCAGGATTACTAGCGACGATTTCAAGCTCGAATTGTTTCTCCGCTTCAAAATCCAGTGACTTCTTAGCAACCACTACACCGGAATGTGAATCAATAGCAAATCGATGACCAATTGTTGGACCCAACAATGAATATTGAATAACCTGATTACGTACAGAATCTGCGTCAGTGGCTATCAGCTGTGTGACGACGGTATCAATAGGCTCATTTTCGAATACTGCAGCGTGAAACTCGCTTGCGTTGAACAAGGGTGGACAGTCGTTAACATCCAATATCGTAATGATGAGATCGACGCTCGCAGAGAGCGCCTTTAATCCTCGATCCTTAGCCACTACCCGAAGTAAATACTCCCGATCGGTTTCATAGTCTAAGCTGTTATTGACCCTAACCGCACCACTTCTTTCGTCGATCAAAAACTTTTCGCGGGCACCAAGATGGTCTTCTAGAAGCTGGAGTTCGTAGACTATCATTCCATTAATACCGTCATCAGCATCTGTCGCGCGAACTGTCAAAACTTCAAAACCTTCTACGGCATCCTCACCCACGCTTGCCTGGTAAATCGAAGACGTAAATACGGGCGCGTGTACATTTTCGGCGGTCACCTCGAGTATGACATGTGTCCGCGCAGCTTTCGCTGGCACGCCTCCATCCCGGGCAATAACCCACGCCTCGAAGCATTGTCCCCGACGGCCGTGAACACTGCGGGTGAGGGTCAGCCAGCCATTCTCCGTATTAATGCGTAAAAGTCCACTTTCGCTGGCATTACCTTGACTAGCTAAACTGTAAAAGACCATTGCGTTTACCCCTTCGTCAACAGTATCTGCTGCAATCAGCTGGGCTAATTTGGAATCAGCTGGCATCGACTCAGGTACTGGGATAAAGTATAGATCGCGTTGGAAGACCGGTGCATGATTGTTACTATCTACGACCTGAATGATCACGGTAGCCTCGGATGACAAACGCGGTTTCCCATGGTCGGTAGCGATGACCTGTAAACGATGCACGTTCTCGTGTGATAGTCTTCCTCCGCCGGCGGGTCTATAGATAAGGGGTCGCTTTGAAGTGATGTTTCCACTGAGCGGATCAATGCGGAATAGATCCGACGGCCGTGACAAAGAGAACGCAATCGTCGAGCCAATTTTGTCCCTATCGGTGGCTCGGACCATTCCGACAAACGTTTGCACCTCACGTTTTTGCTGCTGTTGGCTTTCGGCGACAAGGAACTCGTACGATGGTTTAGAAAACTCTGGTGCATTATCATTGGCGTCTAAGACAGCGATCGTTAATGAGGTCACCTGTTTCCAGGCTCCGTCGAAGACTGAAACCTTTAGCAGATACTCGTCACGTGTCTCACGGTCGATAGGGCCAGCCACAGTTACGTCTCCAGTATGCTCATCAATAGCAAACGCACGATCAGGATCGTCAAATAGGGTGTATGTCGCCTGAGCGTTTGGCCCGATGTCGGCGTCTGACGATGTAATTCGAATGACGAAATGACCAATTGGTGAATTTTCCGTTACATTTGCAGTAAATAGCCGGGTGAAACGCGGTGTGTTATCATTTTTGTCAGCAACATGCACATAAACCGAACATGTCCCTGTTCTTGTAGGCGTGCCGCGATCGACAGCTTCAACAATCAACTGATAGTGGTCGATGCTTTCCCGGTCGAGTTTAGCAGTAGTAAATATCTTTCCTGATCTCGCTTCAATTGAGAACGGTGGAGAAGTCGATGGTGGTGGGATTCCAGCTTCGTTCGGCGAATCAACTCTTACCCCAACTGACTCTAAAGTACCCACTGGGATAGACTGCGCTAGCTGAAAAACAACTTCACCATTCTCCTCTTCATCCGCGTCTGTAGCTTCGATTTCCGTGACAAATTCGGGGGCTTGTTGTTCTTCCAAAACTGTTACATTGTACACCTGTCACATTGGGATAATTCAAGGTACTAATTTAATTAATTGTCGCTTTGGCGTACTGGGTAGCGCGCCGGGCACCCAGCTATAATAATATTCTAGATTTTACTGTTTCAAGCTTTGTATTTGAATAATATCGCACCCCCAACCTTAAAATTGATTCTCATTACGTTGCTAAACAGAATGCAAATGTAAAATAAATAGGACTTTTTAAAGCACACTAAAAATATAAATATTATAGGTAATGTCAAGGCAATATTTACCAATTGTTTGCAGATCGGTGAATTGTCATTGACATCCGTAACCACGATGGAAAGTTCGGTAAAAGCGGCAAGCCCCGACACCCTATCTTCAGCTTGCAGCCACAGTCGAAATGAGGGGGTAGTCTCAAAATCAAGTGATTGGACCACACTTACTTCGCCATTCTGGGCGTTTACCGAAAACACGTTATCCATGTTACCGCCAGCAACGCTGAAAATTGATTAGTTACAATTAAATACGATTGATTGGAAGAAAAATAAGCTGAAACGTTCTAGTTCTTGGGAGAAAAACCTAGAATAGGAAGATTCCATTTTGTTGAGTAGACAATATTTAAAAAAACAGGCACTTTACTATGAACATACATGAATTCGTCGTATTTGCCCTAAAACAGTATCATTACTACTTCGGTGCGACCAATAATTTGCGTCACGTTAGATTACAGCAAAACTAACCCATAAAGGATTTCTGCAGGACGAATAGATGTTTTCGCTTGTACTCTTGTCAGACGCTTTCCCATGGGTGCGTCTTCGCCTATGATGAACTCCCTTCGTCCAGCCAAAAACACAGGAAATTCATCATGTTTGTGAACTCGGACACGAAGCGTCGCATTAGTTGATAAAGGCACTACGCCTCTATCAGTGGCGAAAATCCGAATTTCGAATGGTACGCTGGAACTGCCGAGGCTGCGAGTTGGCAAACGATGCGCCAACTTCACCACTCCAGTATAGGCATCCACTTGAAATAGTCCAGCATCAGATCCTGCTAACTGATAGGCCACACGGCGGTTCGCACCCGAATCTGCATCACGTGCTTGTGTTCCAAAGACAAAATGTCCTAAACATATAAAAAAAAAATAACATCAGTTTTTGCGTAAACCTATAAAAGTCACAATTAGTATGTTATAACGCCATGTATTTTACAATAACATCATACGCACTATTTATAGTTTACGTAATCAAACAACCACAAAAGGGCAAAATCATCAGCGGGAAAAGAACAAGTTGTCCAGTTCGAGCCGTACCAGCGTTGGCATTATCTGAAATTCGGATTTCATAGACGCTCCTGTCAAACTGTGGCGCGTTATCATTCTGGTCATCAACATGAACTGTCACGTTGACCTGGGCTCGACGACTTCCATCGCCTCCGTTGCGGTCTAAGCAGTTAACGCGCAAATGATACACAGCAGTGGTCTCGCGATCAAGAGGACGCAATGTCCGCAGTTCACCAGTGCTGCCATCTAACGAGAAGAATTGACTAGAATCTTCAAGAGAATACCTGTTTAGAACAAAACCAATAGCATCCTGAGTTAGATAACCTTTAACACGGGTAACCACATGAAATACAATGAAATGCAGTAGTATGATGAACATGCACACCGTTGGTGTGCCATTGCGGGTTCTAACCTAATAAAAAGAGACGCATTTGTGTAGACTTTCAAATGACGGGTTCACAATCGTCCGTAAAAACCATTTATTATAAGAGTACGAAATCAATCTAGTAACTACTAGTCACAATAAACGTTTATCGTGCCACGTTGGACATTAACGCCCTCTGCGGGGTATGCGCGCGGGCGTTGAAATTGAGACGTTTTTATATACTTTGCTTGACTCTTCCTATCAAGATAGTTTGTTGGTTGACTGGCGGACTCCATTAGTGTTACAGAAATATTGTCTACGTTATCTTAGTCCGTGTATGTCTAAGAACGTTTATTTTAGCTGCGTATAAACGCACACATAATATATACGCAGCTACTAAATGGACTTCAAACATCCATAAGAGAGGATAGATACATCACGCACAGATATCAATACAAACGTGGATGTATTATACGCGTGACGTAAGAGACAGACCGGAAGCACGACCAATTTGTTCAGTAATATCCATAAAGAGAGTGCCTCGCTGATTAACTAAATCCCGTCGCATTTACATGAATCATACAGAAGAGATAATAGATTGGTAGAAACTTGACAAAAAACCGCAATAAATTGCTTGTCAACTGAAGCTTAACACAGATGATTTTTTTCATATATACAAAAAGCGTAAGTTAAATCAACGGTGAAGGTTTTTGAACGGCAACGGATTATGCAGTACGTGTCGAAGTCAGATATGACAAATACAATAAAATTCTAACAAATATATTTATAACGGCCTTGTTTTCCGTTCTCGAGAAAGCGCTTTTTAGGTAGGAAACTTATGGGATGAAATAATGAATGATTATGAACCTGGGAATAATGGAAACGTTTGTTAATATCAACCAAACGCAAAGCTGTATCCTGGTCTGAATCACCTTTTTGTCTTTTCCAAGTACTTTTTATCTAAATCCCGCTTACCTGAGTTGTGCATTGAGCCCATCGTCGACGTCACGCGCCTTCAATATATGAACAAAAGTGTCCGCAGGCTGATTTTCCATGACGTGCAACTCGTACGAACCACGTTCAAACACAGGCGAGTTGTCGTTAACATCGGCCACCCGCAATACAAGCGATGCTGTTCCCGTTAGTCGCGGAGAGCCTGAATCGACTGCGGCGATTGTAGCGTGAGCAAGCGGCGTGCGCTCCCGATCGAGGCTACGTAAAATGTAAACATCACCTGTCGTTGAATTGACGCGGAACAGCGAACGATCGCCTGCTAGAAGCCGATAGTGGAGTTCTCCTAATTCTGCATCGGCGTCCGAAGCTGCCAATCTGCCAATTAGCGTTCCCCCTGGAGGCACAGGGGTATTTTCAGCCAGAGCGGCCTCGTACGGTGAATGCGCAAAGGTAGGCGCTCGATCATTGACGTCCTTTAAAGTGATACTGACTGAAGCTGTATCGTAACGTGTTTCACTGGCGCTATCCTATAAAATTTAGAAACCGCACGAAATTCAGATAGTAAACTTGCTGTCAATGTAGAAAACCCTAAAAAAGAGAGTTTAGGCCGTAATCCGATCTAGTATATAGTTGTTTCGGTATAATGAGCAAATTTGAACGCGCTAATTCTCCGCGTCATCGAAATCATTTTACCGTTCGCGTTTTATGCATAGGTGTTTACCTCAGCTTGTACGGTGATAACATATCGGCTTTTACGTTCGTGGTCTAGAGTTTTCCTGACGCGTAGCGTACCGCTATCTTCATCGATTACAAAGTCGCGATTTGGATCACCAGCAACGATAGCGTAGCGCACCTTTCCTGCCGGGCCTGCGTCAGCATCAGTGGCCGACACGTTGAGTACGGCAAAGCCTGTCGGGGCCATCTCACTAACGGTGGCACTCCATTGTGGGCGCTCGAATTGTGGCGAATGATCGTTATCGTCCAGAATGTTCACAGTAACCGCAGCAGTCGCTGAACGTGCCGGTGTGCCCCGATCCCTGGCTACCACGTGCACAACATGCATTGCTGCTCTCTCCCTATCGAGTATGCCGGCCACTCGAAGTAATCCATCTACTGAACCAATCGAGAAGCGCTGCTGTCCGCCATAGCTCGAAGACATGCCATTGTGACCGCTATCGCTGGCAAGCGAGTATTCCACAAACGCATTTGCTCCTTCATCACCATCGACGGCTTTAACAGCCATTACAATGGCATTGATTGGCGCATTTTCAACAATGGAGGTTACGTTGGGGGTAATGAAATTTGGCGTGACATCGTTTACGTCACGTACGACTATCGACACCTGACACGTCGATGAGAGGCGTTGCGATATAACTGCAGCTCGATCTGTTTATTAAACGTACGCAAAGAGAAAAAATAGACACAACTTTAGTTCAGCAAGGAACTTATGGATGCTAGTCGTGCGCGTGTCAGGCTCAATGACCAGTTCCGTGACGAAAAGCAACATATTGGCACAACATTTTCAACATTGGCATTTTCAACAATCACGTTTGGAGCTATTTCTACAGATAACAGTTAGTCCAAATATCAAGCAAATCTAACAATAGGTCGTCTTCATACCTTGAGCAAGGACAACTAGGTTATATAAAGATTTCGTTTCTCTGTCCAGTGGCAATCGGGTGGAAATTACACCTCCGTCTGAGATCGAAAACTGTTCTTCGTCATCTCCTTCAAGGACTGAGTACGCGATATCACCGTTTAAACCTGGAATACGATATATAAATGACATGAACCTCTAATAACAATTTGCGCTGGTAATTAAGTATTTGTTAAACAATAATAATTACACAAATAATAATTGATTTCAGCCAACAGTAGTTGTTCCGTCAAGGATTACCTATATTAAGGTTAATCGACAAAACAGATGTATTTTTAATAAAATAAAAAACGTATCAATAAGTAAGATACATTTACGCGTACATAAAACCAATCACGTGTTATTATTTGCTAGTTATCTTTTTCAGTAAACTTGCACTTGTATAGCGGTCTTTTTTCAGAGCGCTTCACGTTCAGTGATTAAGAGGAGCAAATGTTTTTACCGAGCTAAGGGCAATATATACGCATACCCTACGTACAGAAGCCTATACACGTAAAAACAATAAACATCAACAACTATCAGTCTGTCATAAAAGTGTTCTAACAGCGACGGAAGCTTCTACCAGTAACCTCGCTGCCGCGGCCCGAAGAAGCGTCGTTCAGTACCCACAGGCGCCGTAACTTCTTTGCTGATGCCGTTTGTCATCATCGCATTATAGCCTCTCGACAACGTATAGACAAGGGGCAAGTAAAAGAAGGCGAACAGCAGGCTTCGTAAATGTGTTCGACTTCGCTATTCGTTGTTAGTGGTTGATATATTTTCGAAATCTCTCGTTTGGCTTGAATTGTCTTCAAGCATAGAGCAGAGGCTGAAGACCTCGTGTGTGCCATTGTGAAGTTGCACTGTCGTCTTTATACAAAAAAGGTGTACCCGACAATAGCAAGGTACGGTCAAAGTTCTATCTGAAAGACACTGTAAAATTAGGCGTCCGACATAAATAAACACATCAAGTAATGAGTGCAGAAAGACAAGAACGAAAAAGCAGGACTTTCAGGCCGCATCAGCTAATGTGTTGCTGAGATTTAGGTACGGTACAAGTATTTTTAAATGGAATGGTAAGGGATCAAAAACGCGGAACGAAATCTAATTATACTTAATACTCATCTCCTTTCATACAGAATAATTAGCGTGCTTATTTCTATATTGACTTGTTACCTTACATCATGAGAATATGATAATAATCGACGCTATACGGTAGTACTTACCCGTCCACTTCGCCCAGTTAAGTTGTAAAAAGTGCAGATACTATTGGGTCGTCAGCTAATATGACACGCGTTACGTGGCATCGTCGCGCCTTAACCGCTAAGACCACTAGAATAGGCACTTTCTGCATTTTTGCATTGACGCTACTTTAAGCTTTTTCAAAAATCAAAAATACTAATGCTTACCGCCATCGAGGTCTGTAGCCTGCACCTTGATAACCTGTGAGTTAACTGCAGCATCCTCTGTCAGTTCGGCTGAGTACGATTGAGGATCAAAAATCGGTGCATTGTCATTCACGTCTACCACGTTAACGTAAACTGTTGCCGTAGCTGAAAGACGCACTGAGGATCCACCGTCTTGGGCGAGTACAACCAACACATAATGTTGATACTGTAAAAATTCCGCAATTGAAGAAATTAAATGTGCTTGCAAATTAATTTAGTTTTTTCAGTTCCGTTACATAAAAGTGTAGGTAGAGAAACGTCTATTTGGGCTATTTTTTTTTTTAGTTGTCTGCCTTTTCGATAGTACAGCCGCTTGGCCGGAAGACCGAGACAAATGAAGATCTACTGATCAATAGTATTCCATCTGAACTTTATCAATGAGTCATCGGTAGAAAGCACTTTTTTTTATTCACGAAGAAAGGTCCTATAACGATAGGTCATAAACTAAAAGAAACCAGGAGTTGGATCAATCGGAAATTTTCTACAAACCTAAATCTGCGTCTCATCTCAAAAAGTTGACTCTAGAGGGAAGCTTCTATAAAACTTCTTCTTCTTCTTCTTACGAAACAGTATTTGTAACCAATATAAAGTGCCTATATGCTATCTTGATTGTCAGACATTTTTTACAATTCAAGTCATAAGAGGAAATCCTTGGTTTGTGCTGCTCCTTGCTGGCAGCTCGCGCACACTCACGACATCGACACCACTGCGTCCTTTACTGAAATCTCCACCGTCTTTGTAAGTGTTATTGCGTTTGGAGAATGTACAAGTTGAAGTGTTTACACACAATGTGATTGACACAATGATTAAAAACTGTAAGCAGGTTACAAATAATTGCGTGATGTGTCGTTTTTCTTAGCGCAATCGATCTTCAATCTTCCTAAGTACAAAGACTGAACGTACCTCTTCTACTCGCGTTCTGAAATGCAGCGCCTTTTTATTTGCGAAAATAGTGTGCTTTTCCTCTATTGAACAGAATGTGTCATATTCAATTTGTAGCAATGGATTGCGAGTACGATCCAGATCAGTTCCCCTCGACAGCTACTGTGTGATTTGGCTTTTCTCACTTTCGACAATGGGTAGTGTCTACTTTTCGATTAAAGAGGGATAAAGCTCAAATCGTAATAAAGGTAAGATAATATGCTTCGGCCGCCGAAGCAATGACAGACATCATAAAAATTTCGATATATCACTAGTCAGTAGTCTTTCCGTTCTCTCCCTGCCGAAATGTAGGCTTTAATATACGAGTGTTTACTAATTGTTGCATCGCAACAAACTAGCACGATCGCATGTTCTTCTAAACTACTGGTTGTAGTTTTTTTCGGGTGCAAACATTCTGTTGTGTGGTTCTGCCCGAACGGCCGGGAGAACGACGACATCTATAAAGTGCATCACATTGCAACAAACACGCGCGAGAAAGACAAATCGACTTCTATTCTTCTTCTATTTGAGGCACGATCGAAACGACGAAATAGGAGCAGAAAGAGAGCGAAGTAAAGCAGCGAAGCTTATCAAACGTTTCAACAATATTCTCTCGGCTGCCTCAGACCGGCAGCGGATACGGAAGCCAATAGCGGGGACTACCAAGAGCAACTAATGACCAACGCGGACCAGCTTCACTCTGTATAGTAGTAGTACTAAGTGGCCAAAGGGCTAATATCAACCAACAAGTCAGTCGACCCAACTAGCCCAGCAAGCAGACTAAATGGCCAGTGAGCGGACTAGCGAGTGACCGGCTTTCGTAAATACATCTGGTTCATTTGAACGACCGCCGCCGACAAGCAACGTCGATCCGACCGAACCATATCGCTCTCTCTGACGGGGTCGTCCGTTTCGTTGCGGAGGAATTTAACGTGTGAGAACGACGCCAAGCAAGGCGCGTCATCAGGCGCCCCGCCAACAGCGTCAGCGATTCGCTAGCCGAGTTTCGGCTGCGTCAATGCCAATGTCAACAGCAGCTTGAAACAGTGGGACGACTGAGTGAAGCGGTGTGAAATGAAGTTGCCACCGAAACTACTGAAGTGCGCGAGCGAATACGGACGGGAGCGACTGAGCGAAAAGAGTAGTGCGAATGGCTGAGGGACAGAACTGCTGCCAATGACTTGTTGCTAAACCATGTTGGTCGAAGATCACTACAGCTGCTGTTGAAGAACAAGCTCAGTCAGCGTCTCCAGCAGCGGCGACGAACGAACCGGGACTCGTTTGAAGCGAACCCGAGGGGGCCCTTTGACTTCGCTTTACTTGATTTCAACGATTGCTGGCGCTTGGCCGACGTTGTTTCGCAGCAAGACTGTAGCAGCCGCCGCCGCCGCGCCACGGAAGAAGCGTCTACCACTCGAATACACGTGCTGCTTCTGCTGGTTATAATACTGATGTTATTCAACGTAGTGGTTTCGACTCCACACGCTCAATATATAGACAACAGTGACGGAACGGTACGAATCAACCGGTGGTTCGGTTAACTATGGCGTGCGCTGCTGGTAGTTTCTGCTTTTGCTGCGCCGACGACGACTACTGCTGCTGCTGACTAGTGACCGCCGACCAAACATCAGCTACAAGCATTAAGCGAAGCACAGCAGCAGCAACAAACGGCTAGAGGAACTGACACGGCCTAACAACCAACTCATCAGGCGAAGAACGAAGAGGACTGAGACAGATCGAGATTTTCCTAAAAATAGAAGACCACGAAAAAAAGGCACAATAACGCTATGCAGGAATGGAGGGAAGCACACATACGGTAAGGACAACAACAATATTAATAATAATTAACAACAACAACAAAACTACGTAGAACAGGTAGTTATCGAGGAGGCAGACAAAGAGGAAAAAGAAAAGCAAGCGAACTACACGCGGTAGTAATAAGTAAAAACGGCAGCAGAGCGTTTAGCCACTGGTGTGGCAGACTTATATTCGCTTAAGACCTGTATACGCTTATGGACACATAACGCTGCAGTGACTGCGTCACTAGCAATGCTGGCGCTAAACGTCTGCCGACCTACCGGCGGCGAACGGATCGACCGATCTCCGCTAGAGAACCGCCTGCGGAATAAGAATATCGCATGAAAGTGAAGGCAGGATTAAAGAGCGGTGAGTCAACCCGAAGCAAACGAAGCCAGGAAGGAAAACCGGTTTGGGTGAACGGAGATAGCTGAAAAAGAAGACACAGAAAAAAAAAACTGTACCATTGTAGGACTGTTAAGAAGACATGCAGAAGCCAAAGAAGATCGGAGGGAGGTGAAAACAGTTGTTACTATCCAGCGGCGTTTGAAGAACGTCGCAAGACGTCACTGCGGCCGCCACACTGGCGTAGACGGTACTGCACTGTTGAGTCGAAACCAGTCAAGGCAATCCAATGAGTGAACCGACAACAGACCACTAAGCGGCTATAAAGGAAATGGTGACGGCTAGGCTGGTTCGCTAGTTGTATTTCTTTTCAGTCGCGCGGTTCTTGACATGGTCGGAGGTCCTCTTCCCTCAATCTGTGATAGATGAGTGAAGAAGCACTAAAGCCCATTTGAATGGGCAAACTCAACGGGCCCAACCTTCGTGCAGGCTCATAGCTAGTCTAGAAGTGCGCCTCTTTATGGGCCATACAAATACGATACGCAGAAGGAGAATGTGCACGTACATATTATATCATACAATAGTATAAACTATATGTATTTAATAGTCGAATAAGATTCTTTAATAGATCTTATAAATTTCTATTGATCCTGTTGGGCCGACGATGAACCTGGGCGCTTATTTTCACAGAATATTATACGAATGCGTTCATAGTAGTATCTATTTTCGATACGGACTTTCAAAAACGAAGCTTGGCGTGCAGGTAAACAACGAAGATCGTCAATTTGAAGAGGATACACGAGAAAGAACCACAATTACTCTGCCCTATTCATTGAACACGCTGTGTTGAAGCTGCCAAGGACTTATATAAAGAATGATAAGTTTGAGCATCAAGCTCACAATCAGATTGTGCTATCAGTTACGACCACACCGTATGAGTCAGCGTAGATTATACAGGCATAGTGAGGACAAGTTGATTAGTCAAAAGTCACCTTTCTCCTATTTTCGCTTGGATCAAGTTCATCAAATGACACAGCGTTCAGAGCGCGCTTCGTCGACTTTGCATTTGTTTAGCTTGTAGTCCGAAGATATAATCATGGATATTATCCGGAAGAGTATTCCCTGTGCGCTTCCTCTGTCTCTATACAATTTTAGCTGGTCAGTGGATTATATAATAGATTTAAGTAAGCATGTACAATATCCAGCAGACTACATTTGCACATCAATTACATAGTCTCTCTGCTGGCAACGCAAACTATTGTTGCTGGACGCTATAACATTAGAACGTTTCGAGTTGAGACCAGTAACTCCTTCTCCAGCTCTGTCATAAAGCCCATTCATTAGACTCGTACAGAGTGAGCAACAAATAAACCCAAATCAATATGAAAATTGGGATCGTTTAGTATATATATTTTGTTGTTGTTTCGGATGCGTTTATACAATTGCGCCGGCAATAGTTCTTGCCATGGCAAGACATCTAGCATGCTATATCCGTCCAACTGAGGTCTTCTCCAAAAGATGCCCTAGCAAAACGAGACTCTACTGACTAATGTTGATTGTCAACTAAGTCATGAAGCTGCTCTTCAGATGAGCGCTAACGTTCGGGTTTGGGCATACGTTTTTCTCTTACTTATGATTATTTTATTCATTTACTAATGTGCACGCATACATGCGTTGATGGCGTTCAAACCACGTGCAATGATGCATACACCCGGCACAAGTAGCACATCAGGGATGCATGTCCGATAAAATGTGCTGTCAACGATCTTCTGATAGATTAAAAAAGAACAACAAAACCTTTGCTAATTGGTAAAATTATCGATCAATTCAGAACAATTTTACCATTAATACAGTTGTATATGCTTTCTGTTATATAACAAGCAGAATCCTAAAACTCGTCCAGACAAAAATCATTCAATAAAGCTCGATTGGAGCAATTGTATAAGCATAAACCGACAACGCTGCGCTTCAACTTCTAACAGTAAAACGAATAAAAAATTTTGCAAAGCTGACGACCAATGCAGCTCATACTACTACGTGTTGCAATAGAAGAAGAAGAAAATATCTTCCGTGTTTTAAACCCACCGCGGCTGCTGTAATGGC